GGCTTGCCAGTTGTGGGGTACTGGGCGGGACAGAAACCCCAACAAGCCAGCCCCCTCATGTTACATGCTATCATTTAAAGCTACCCCTGGAAGTTACTGACATTTGGCGGGGTAGCAATGACCTAGAGCTTTAATTTAACTAGAGTGTCAGACCCAGGAAATGAAGCATGATACACGCCATTGATTGACACTGATAGTCTTGTTCTTGATTCATTATACTACAAGTTGTAACCCTGGCTCTCTTTGGGAAACTTTATTATGTAGGGATAGAGTGGGACAAGATTCTTCATCTCAAAAAAGAACAAGGGCATAAAGAAAGCCTAAGGCATGAAGAGTAAACCATAATAAGTCATAGACAAATTTACCTAATCACTAAAATAAAATTCTGCTTTGTTGTCATTTTAATTACCAAAAAGCAAAAGATATAAATGATCTTTCTAGTATTAAGAAAAAATGATATGAGATTCCCCTCTGAATACTGTGACTATTAGTTAATAAAGGAACTGCTTTGAGCCTATAGCAGAGCTATAGGGAAACAGAGCTAGGCAGAGAAAACTAAACTGAATGCTGGGAGAAAGAAGGGCAGACTCAGAGAGAAGCCATGAAGCCTCCACTGGAGACAAAGGTGCTGAACTTTGCTAGTAGGCCATGACCTTGTGGTGATGCACAGATTAGAGGAGATGGGTTAAATTAAGATGTAAGAGTTAGCAAATAAGAAACTAGAGCTAATGGGCCAAGCAGTGAACTACATTTAAATAACATAGTTTCTGTGTGGTTACTTTGGGACTCTTGGGCATCTGGGAAATAAACAAGTGGCCTCTTTACAACAAATTGGCACCCAATGTGGCCAACTAAAATTCACATAAAACCTGAGAGGACTTGGAAAGGAATTCTAGACACTAAAAAACAAAGTTTAGCCACATTTTTGTTCCGAATGGGCTTTGTTTGCTGATTGATTGCCACAGCTCTCATAAGAGAGGTCTTTCCAATTCAGTGATAGTAGAAAAAAAGTCACACCATTTTGAAATGCTGTCTTTCTGGGCCATGCTGCCAGCTCAACTTCCAGTTCTTTCAGAAGTCCGAGCATTTAAATGGGGTTTGTAAGAAGAGTGTTAAAACTTGCTTAGTGACAACAGAGACCTTGTGTGCCTGAAAATGGGGTAATGTGCATGGTCTGCAGAGGCAATAAATGGACTTCCACCATATTGAACTATGCAGAGCAAGCAGGAAGTACTGGAAATACCCTAGAAACGCCACAGCTTAGATTCTTAAGTGTTTAGCATTTTAAGAAGTGCTTCTAGTCAAAAAATATTACAGATATGCAATGAAGACAAATCCAGATTTAAAAAGATCTCTAAATGGGTCACAGTGTTGAGTAATTGTACGTAGGCTTGGGAGAGAGAAGGGAAAGAGTATAGTGAGTTGGAAAAGAAGTAAATTGTTTTTAAAAATAGTCTTTAACGAGACAGAGTACAGTCAGAGATTAAAAGGAATACAGAAAAATAAACCACATAAAGATGGAAAATTCATAGAGTCTGGATTATGTATATTAATGTGTTTTCTTTGAATTTTTTGACTGTGAAGGAGCTAAGTAACCAACATATACATTTTAAAGGTAATCTTGATTTCAGAATTTGGGACTAAGGATATGTTGCTTTGAAAAAGAGGTTCTTCTTTTGTTTCCACAGAGGATGAGAACTTATGGATTGCTTCCAGACTAATATGGTTTGATGCAACAAGACCCCAGAAATGTCACTATAAAAAAGTACTTCACCCAACTGCTGACGTAAATGAACCTAGCACACAGGATACACCATGAAAGACCCGATTAACAATGCTCCTAATCAGCAGAAAGTAGTCTAGAGGACTATGCCTATACTCCCAAATATTGTTTATAAATGTTTATTTACATTTAAAGGGGAATATGCATTAGAGATTTGCATTGGTATGGATTTTGGTCTATTGATACAAATTTAAGGTCAATTTTGT